AAGGCACTTCTCGGACATTATCGACGTCAGGACCTATCGCGGCGCAAATATCGCCACGGTACAATCTGGAGCGACTGAATCTGCCCGAAGTCCCAACTGAGTGCGTGCAATGACTCGACGCAGCGTTGCCGGATGGGGGAGAGCGCTGACCGAAAAAGTAAAGAACGACGGAGACCAGTTTCCAGATTTCCGAATAGCGAATGATATTTTGTTCAAGAATTGTCGCTGCAAAGATGAAGTAGGAGCGGTGTTTCATAAGTGGAAGCAAGTTGTTCCGAAGGAAGAAAGGATGCAGTTAATCCGAAGATTCCACGATGAACCGGCCGCTGCTCATTTAGGATTCTACAAGACTTGGCACAAGCTGCAAGCTCACTACTACTGGCCGCGGATGCAACAGGAAATCAGCAATTACGTGAAGAACTGTGCTACTTGCAAGGCATGTAAGGCCCCTGGTACGAGGATGATGCCGCAGATGGGTAACCCGAAACCGGCGAAAATTCCGTGGGAGATGATATCGGTAGACTTTGTAGGGCCACTCACACGTTCCAAGCGAGGAAACACAGTGCTGTTCGTGGTGGTAGATTGGGTCAGCAAGTACGTGATCGTCCAGCCGATGCGCGCAGCGGATTCGCAGAAGATGGTGGAATTCCTGGAGAAGGAGGTTTGTCTGAAGTTCTCGCGTCCAAGGATAATACTGTCCGACAACGGAAAGCAGTTCGAGTCTCTGCTGTTCAAATCCTGGCTGGCACGGCACAAAATCGGCCATATGAAGACCGCGTTCTACTGCCCGCAAGTTAACAATGCGGAGCGCGTGAACCGCGTCGTAGTTACTGGTATCCGGTCGTTGTTGGACGGAGATCATCGGGAATGGGATGAGAATTTGCCGGCCATCACCGCGGCGATCAACTCGGCCAAGCACGAAGCGACAGGAGTGAGTCCGCACGAAGCAAACTTCGGGAGGAACCTACTGCTACACACGGATCTCTACACACAGCAAGAACTGAACACGCCGGAGGATCCGAAGGTGGCACAGGATTTGCGCCTATCAGCGATTCGCCGAATACAGCAACTCATCATCCAGCGTATCAAAAACAACCACGAGCGGTCGAAGCAACGATACACTCTTCGCACGAGAGCAGTCACATTCAAGGTGGGAGACCTAGTCTGGCGGCGTTCGTTCGTGCTATCTTCAAAGGTCGATCAGATCAACAGCAAGCTGGAGCCGAAGTTCGTTCCTGCAATCGTTAAGGAGATCCTGGGAACAAACTTGTACGTTTTGGAGGACGTGTTGAGCGGAAAGAAAGGAAGGTACCATGCGAAGGATATCAAGGCTGACTAAATGGGATTATAAAAGCTATGTCCACAGGCAAGGCCTGTCAACGAAGAGCGAAAGCCTCGAAAAAACAACAAGGGCAACTTCCGTCAGGTGTGATGAGCAACAACTTCCAATTAACTACCTCTCCACCTTGACAAGCACTATTTGATGAGCCTTTGATGATCTGCAGTTCATTGAATTTTTGCGCAACCGCGCGAGCCGTTCACGACACGGGAGAAATCGTATCCCGACAGACTGGAAACGGGCTGCAGGGAGTTGGTGCGTATCAACAGTCTGGCATGTATCCGATGGGGGTCTCGGTGACGCGGACTGAAGAGGAGCCCAACCGGGCGTACCGTTAGTCAGGGCGAGAGAAACTGATCATGTGTATGCTTAGCGCTGACATGCCGTTGCCAGACGTGACAAACTGTGCAAATCAGCAAGCTATGTCCGCAGACAACTGCCAACCAAGAAGGAAATCCTCACACCAAAACACACCAAATGATCATGCCGTTAGCCGATCGAGACAAATCGAGCACAACACCAACTACGACCACTTCAACCGCTGACAACAAAGCTACGAGCCACGTCAGCTACGAAACAAGAAAACACGAAACTCGGCAAAACCCAACCAAGACTGGATTGGTGTTAACAAATTTCCTCATGTGTGTCCAGTAAGATCGAATGCGTTCCCAAAGGTTAAAAAACTCTGGGGATCGTCATGAAAATTCCATCCTAAAGTAACGCGATTCGGGGCGCGGTAAAACCCCTCACTCTGGGCTCATGACGATTTAGTCGCGGAAATGCAACTTTTCTCAGATGCACCGCACAACCAATACAAACCATATTGTCCTTGTAAATATTAATATGTAAGCCAAATATTGATATGTAAGCTTCTTATCGTTTTGTGTGAGATTGAGTCTATTATAGTTGTATAAATAGGCTAGAATCCGATTTGAATGTTGGCCGTAGTGGGCACGGATTTGTGGAAGCTTGAACAAGGACATGGTCAGAGACGTTTTGAAAGGTCAAAGTAGTTCTGCCAGAAGCAACTGGCGATTATAGGCATTATGATTAGGCAGTGTAGGCAGTTAAGGGGGATTAAGATCTGGCAAGCAGCCGAGGCTTGCGTACGTATTATGTTTTCGATTTAGTCGAATGTAAACTTGAGGTCTGCTCAAGAGTTTTGTTGACCGATAAGTCTCTGATCAAAATCCTGAGGGATGAGTTTTTGAATTTTTTATGAATCGTTTGATCACCGATTCATAAAAAATTCTTCCGCTACGGTAGAGTTGTGTTACGTATTAATTTTGAGTACTATTTTGCCGATAGAAAGAGCAAACTTTGTCACACGTTGAGTAAATGCATTGAAGCGTGCAGCTATGAAATTGATGCTGTATGGGCCACGTCACTTGAAAACAGACAAGCAAAGCAAATTATATTGCTAACATCATACAGTATGGAGACTGCTGACAACTCTTCCGCCGAACACGCACACACACACGGCTTCGCAGGAGATCGGACCAGCCACAGCAAGCGAGAAGAAGAAAGACACCCGTGCAAGTAGTGCGCACATTTTGCGTGGAAAAAAATCCGGTTCAGTTAGTTGTGTGGTTCCCTGCAGTTGCGGACGGCATAAACGCGCATCGTCATCGTTAGGGCGATAGTTTCGGAAGTGATCAAATTGTGCGGGCTGTAGTTTCGGTCGTAAACGGTAGTGAGTTTGATACTCGTTGGGCGAACTATAGCTTCCAGTTGTACTGAGCTAACATAACCGTCGGAAAAGCCATCCTACGGAAAATCAACGCGAGCTGGCAAGCGTCGCCATCGTGCAAACTGTACCAGAACGTGGACATTTTCAGAAAGCCTTCGGAGCTTCACAACGAGTAAAAGGTGGGTATAGTCCAGCACACTAGAACAAACGCCAAACTAACCAAGCTTTTCGGAACAGTATTGCACCACACAGACTGCACGCATACACGCACTGGGAACGAGCGGTTCACACATCGAGGATTGCGACTACTAGGAGCCAAGCACGGAGGAATCCGACATTCGGCAATCACTGGTATACCATTGGAATAACCGGTAAGGTGGTTACAGCAATATTGATGTAACGTTGAAACTAATGACGTGTTTGACGCTCACACAGATTGGCCTCCACGTCGAGATTTGACCTTGACATTGACAATCAGCACCGCAGCGAGTCGCTGCGTGAAAAGACAAAGCCTTCGAAAAGAAGTAAGTTACGAAATGGGATGGCCGCCAACCTGGGGCTAATATGGCAATGCGCCTCAGGGCTTTTGTTTTCAGACTTGATTCGTCACCGTTCGCTGCGTGGAAGAGGATCGTAGGAGGGCCGAGCCACACAACGAGTTCATCCAGTGAGAGCAGATCATTACGCTGCGTGGTTCGGTACATGCCGAGAGAATCCGCTGGTGAGAGCTGACGTCTACGGTAGCAACACTCGGCATCAGGAAACGGACGTTCGTCCGGCATTCCACGCGATCGACGTTGCTGGTAGGACCGACAGAAACTCGGAGAGCGTAGTTCCGGTACTCACACCGGCCAGATCCGGTTTCATCGAAGTCGCAGCCTCAGGCACACACTGGCTTCCCTCGCTTTCACCCGCACCGTTCGTATCGAGGAGAGCTCGTCCTGGTTGAATGCCGAGAACGGCTGTTCACGAAGGAAGTGAGACGTTTGACGACCACGAAGCGTACCCTAGTCAACTAAAGGATATCGGTGTGAAGTTTGGTGGTGTGTTGTGTCGGCGCATCGATGACAGAAGTGGAACCGCGATTCGGGTGCACCCGGTCGATATTGTGTGAGTACTCACCTGAAGAAAATTATTTATAGTGGAAAAGAACAGTAGGTCAAGAGGGGTTGCGCAACAGTGCGATGAAAGAGGGCCAGGACAGGGAATAAGAGACAGGTAGGAGATAATGATGTGGCAGAACATGCAGAAATAAAAGTTTGCCTATGTTGATTATGTACTTTGTTGTGGTGTTCATTTTGCTAGCCGATTCGACCCAAGCTTTCCATACAAGCACAAGTCGTATGTAACACAGTTTCAGTAACTAACATTCGCCATTCAGCCGTTTTAAATTCATTTGTCATACATAAATATTCATTCCCATCTACCTTCCACACAGTTGAAGCAATTTGTTAATCAATTTAACAAGTAACCCCGAACAAACAAATTTATATCACACTGAGTTTCTGAGGCTGCGAAACCGAACAATGAAGTTAACATCAATCCATGCCACATTTCACACAAAAAAATAAACCAAACAGATGCTTACTCACTCGAATTTAGTCATAGGGGAAACCCTCGGTTTCTTGAACGATGAATACACTTTTCCCTTAGCATCTTAGCGCGAAATTCGTTTTTCCTTTTCGATCGACCAATTAGCTAAATGGGAAAACCTCAGGGGAGTGCTTTTTCTGTGCGACTACGATGAGAGAAAATATATCGTTCCGATCGAGATAGCGCACTTGTACATAAATGCCACGTCAGGGGAACACGTTTCACTGGCTCAGCGATGAATCGAGAGACCTGATGGGGAATTATGTGGGTACATCCTTTTTCGATGGCAGTGAACTTTTCGGATTTGTCGCTCCCAGGCGAATTAAATGGTTCGATTTTCTTTGTTTGGACTAGCATGCGTTTATTTTACAGCGATATAATCGAATGGTAGTTGGAGGTTGGTGCGATGAATGAAGTTGCGGGGGGGCTACCACGAATTGCCGTGATTCGCTGGTAGCTTAAGATTACTGTTTTCAAATTTATTAAACCACGTGTTTAACATCTCGGTTTTGCGATCCACAGTGATTCAACCTTGAGCCGTAACCAATCGAGAGCGTTGAATTGGCAGGCACCATACGATTGAACACTTGGTGGGTAGAAGAATTTGGACGAAGGTCCCTCCGGATATTGTTGCACCGTTCGTGCTGCAGCTTTGATTTCCGCAGATTGATCTCCATTGTAGTAATAGTAAGTGTAAAGCGTACTGGAGTTGCTTTGAACGGTAGTCACGTTTTGCGGAGCCAACCGTTGAGCTTGATAGTTGTAGGAACGGTCCTGAGCCGGCGGTGGATGACTTCGGACGTAGCGATAGGGACAGCTTTCCTGATAGACATCCAGCACGAAACCCTGGACGTTTGGGAAGCGATTGCGTGTGGTTCGTACGCGGAGCATCTTGGGATAGTTATTCCATTGAGTGGTGTAGACCATTCCTGAACGGCAACCGCAGATGCGACGGCCATCGATTTCCAGGAAAGCGTCAGCGCAGTTCAAACGATCGTCGCCCACCAGGAAGTACTTGAAGGTGATGATCAACCGGCAGGTGTTGGGTGAAAATCGATAGATCTGGTAGGCGCAATCTCTGTTGATGGTTTCGTAGCTGGGAAAGTTTGGACTCACTAGGTAGAAGCGTTTCTGGTTGAAGACGTTGCGGCAGCATTGTTGTAGACCTGGTTGGACGGGGGGTAGGAACGGTGGAACTGGGATGTCCTGATGTTCAGGTCTGCTAGAGGAAGCGTTCTCGGCTAGTTCAAATTCCGGATCTTGCATGTTTGGTTGGTAGCCAGGCGGTGCACCTCCTATTGAGTTAGTACCGCCACCACTGTTGGTGGGTGGATAGGCTGGATAACTGGGGTAATTTGGATAGCTTGGATTGATCGGTGGATTACTGGGGTAATTTGGATACGATGGATTAATCGGTGGATTACTGGGGTAATTTGGATACGATGGATTAATCGGTGGATTACTGGGGTAATTTGGATAAGTTGGATTGTTCGGTGAACAAGGACCATACTGGCAGTTTGGATTTGGATAAATTGGAGTTATGGTTCCTGGATAGTTTGGATTGATAGGATAGTTATTGCCTGGATTGGTAGGGGGATAAATTGGTGACACGGGCACCGGTCCTCCAGGATACGTTGGGTACGTGGGATAAATAGGTGTTACAGATCCAGGAATCTTTGGTGGATAGCTAGGATACGTTGGATAATTGGTTCCAGGATTGTATGGATAGCAGTTAGGGTACGGGTTGCAAGGCTGAGGGCATACATTTGTTGGATTATATGGTGGAATAGTGCTTCCTGAGGGAGGAAGATATCCATTTCCACCAGGATTAAACTCCGGGGGAATATCTTGACGACTACTCACTGAAAACGTTCTATTGGGTGGTAAGAAATCACCTTCAGGAGTTATGATTGGCTCTGTAGTTTCCTCCGCGACTTCAATAGTCGTATAAACAGTGTAACTTGTCGATGACTCCACCGGCTCATTATCGTCACACGGCTGTCTGGTAACCACTATCCGGAATCCTCTGTCACTACCCCATCCATCCGTCACAAACTTCATCTTCAAGATGCCATCCGTCGAGTTGTACGTTTTTGAACCAAGTACGGTCCCACAAAGAATTTCTTCGTTTCCAACGATCAATCGATCTTTGTAGCAATTTCTCGATGGCTCCAATGAAAAATCCAAAAACTGCACATGATACCGACTGCTGCAGACAAACGGTGACTTGAACGTGTACTCACAACGCAGTTCTTCTCCATACTGTTCTGGATATCCTGGAGACATAATCTCATTTTGAAGTCTTTTGAATACTCCTCCACACTCAACCGAACTTCGCTCACTAGCAACGTACCAACTAACTCTCGAATAGTTTTCGTTCTTCTCCAACTCTTCGTACTGATTAATCATTCGAAATTCTTGTTCCTCACATCTCACCAACACGATTACCAATTTCAGCAAACCGAAGATTAACAACATTCTGATTGAATTTCCGCTCAACATCTCGCAAAACACGAAAATCGATTGTTACCAAGTACGGAAGAGATTAAACTTTTTCCATTATGTTGTTCGACGGCCGATCGGTGGAAGATGAATGCAAAACTTTTCGACTTGTTCATCAATATTTAAGACCGTTTAAGAGCCGTTTATGTCGGAAGATTAAACAAAACACACTCACCCAATAATGACGAAAGCATTGTCGGCTGCGACGGATGATGGCCCACACTGCGACATCTACGACAACGGTGAGGGTCTTCGTTTGCATTGGGTCGCGCAAAAGATGCAAACCGAAATGTAATATCGTGTGAGGAAACTGTTGGCAGAGGTGTGTGAAGGGCAAATATTTGCTAGGTTGAATGTTGAGAAGATTACAACGGAATGCTTCAACGTGTGGCTGCAAAATCTAACAGTCTTAAATTTTGAGCCACATGAAATTGTATGAAAGAGTTTAATTGATAAACGTTTGCAAAAATTATAAATTATCTAGGTAGGAGAAATTACAACGTCTTCAGTTGCTATACCTACCATTGTCAGGGAGTAAATCAATTTCTTGAGTGCTTGATTTTACCATTAAAATCTGAAATCGTTGTTTGAATAATTAGCACTAAGTGGAAACCAATCTTGTACCCTGCACACGCTCATGAGCGAGAAGCAACACGAGTTAAGCCTTTATTTGAACTGTATGACGCGCCAGTAAAGTTTAACTTTTTTTAACAAAGTTGTGTCATTTCCGCTGACAAATTTCATTCTCCACATTCACTCCTCTCCTACGCGAAAAACTTCCACTCCACCAACGGATCAGTCTGGTGACTAGAATCATACATGTTTGCATCTGTTTTGAATTCCAGCTTTTCAATCAAAGTTATTGAAGGGACATTTGAGTGCCCCACACCCACAACGGCATTCCATCCCCGGTTGGCCAATTTCCACAAACCACGACGACGATTTGATACACACATTCAGCATTATTCAGCAAACCCCTTGTGAGCAATTTGCTCTGCTCGTTGAGCAATCCCACGTTGGAGTTCCAAACTTTGCATCGCGTGATAGCATATCCGGATGCTCCACTTCCAAATGCCCAGGAAGCGTTGATGATTTGAGTGTCAGAGCTTCCAGTTTTGATAATGTATATTAGGGTGCCAAAGAAAATGGTTATCGCAAATTTCAGAAAGATTCCCCCTACAAAATGTGTATTGTCTCTCGAAAAACGACCCAATGCCAAATTTGGGCTCAAAAGAACTTGATTTAGGGGTGGTGCAAAGCAGTCAAAATTTGACTTTTTTCACTCTCGAAAATCTCCCTTGAAATTGCGGAAAAATGTTTTGTCAAAAATCGACTATCTGGGACTTTTTTTTCATGAGTTGTGCTAGATTTCGAATCTTGATTAATTGACTTCTAAAACTATTCACAATTACCTCCAAACTATTTGTATATCAATTTGAACCACCAATTGGCATCTGATACGCGATGCTTCACTAGGGTGGTTCATTTATTATTCATTAGGGTGGTCCGAAAAATCAAAATACATGAAAGGTCATAACATTTTAACAAATATATCTGAAATTAAATTACTAACAAAATTACTATTTTTCAATAATAGCATAAAATGTATATTCTAATATCTATAGCTGGTGTTAATGACTTTGTTTCAAATGCTAAGGGTTTGAATTTTAGCCATATGGAAAACATTTAATGATAGAGATATTTTTCGAGAAAGTTCTTGAAAAATTGGTCCAACAGGTCAAACAGGTCTAACTTTTAAAGAAAGAGCACGACAATGAATGATTCCAGAAGAATGAACAGTTTTGTCTGAGGAGAGTGCATTTATGTCAAGTGAAATACGCATACAAATCAGGCGTAACATTTGATAACGGCACAAAAACTCTCTAACTGAAGTACGCCCACGCTAACCAATACAATTATCAGAAAGAGGAAAAAAATTCCCACTCGATGATGTTGTTGGTTTACGTGAGCGTTCTTCGGTTTGCGTGTAAGAGGCCTGAAATATAACATTTCTTTGGTACATTGACATATATTTTTATATTACGTACACTAAATCAGATTTCTTGGGACTGTAACATTTTTTTACGATGTTCTTCAATGTATAGGAGATGAAAGTATAGAATTGATAGTTCCGTTTAGAGTACGGCCAACAATCAATACGAAACTAACGATTTTAAATTGGCTCACTACTTGACTAGCCTATTGGTCCCAAGCAAATCGATTACGTACCCCATTCTAGTCAACATTCTAGTACTACACTAGGTTTGTTTTGATTCGCTATGAAAGTTTAACAGTCAAAATGAGGGGTTAGTGGATTTTCCTATGTTTCGAGGGGTGAATCGATTAGCTTGGGACCGAAGAGAGTACCAGAGCTGAGCCAAAAAGTTGAGCACGTTTCTTCGGGACCTTCTTGTCTCAGAGTTACCTCTTCGGTATGGCAGTGTGAAAATTGCATATAGAGAGTAGAAAGCGAGCAAGGGCAACTTTAGGAAGGTACAAATCGCTTTGATCATCTCTCTTTACCAAAATTCCCCGTTGGAGAGGGATGAGGGGTATTCCCTCCGCCACCACTGACAAAAAGAGATGATCGCCGACTCGCTCATGTACCAACGATGTGTTTGAAACAGTTCTATCGATTTTTACTGCACTCAAGTTGTTATCTGAAGGAAGGCATCCAGTCGTAGGTTTCCCATCACTTCACCATCCCTCTCCTACGGGAGAGTTTGGTAAAAAGAGATGATCAAACCGATTTGTACCTTCCTAAAGTTGTCCTTGCTCGGTTTCTACTCTATATATGCAATTTTCACACTGCCCTACTCTAACGGAACCATCAATTGTATACTTTCATCTCCTCATCTATCGTATAAAAATTACCACAATTACCAGACAAATTATTTGAAATTAGCATCTATGGCCTCCTGTCAAATTTTCATCAGAACCTAAGAAAAGAGGTGACAATACGGGGGCGAAAATGAACCACTTTTCTGTCAAACGTGAACCAGCTCCTGATTGACCGATTTAATGTGCGTAAAATAGAGATAGAGATAGATAAAGATAGAGATAGAGATAGAAATAAAAGAGGAAGAAGCCAATTGTCATCTCTTCCTCTTAGATCAGAACATGCACTGAAATCCGTCAGTTCAGGCGTCTATTTGGCCCTCCTCATTGTTCTTCATCAGCAGTTCTTTTGGTCGATGCGTCGTTGACTTTGAAAAGTTACCGTTTCGTGATGAGTGTGTGATATACCACGTTTTGCGTCCATGGCACAGTGGTCCAGAATGCAGATTTAGCTGGAAGGATAGGTTTTGAGCCTGAAATTGAAATTATAGACTAAAAGTCTCTTCTACAAAGTTTTCCTTATAGCTAGGTCCTCATTTTTATGGCAATGAATTCTAGGGTGGTTCTTATTGTCATTGAAATCAAAAATCTAACTTTTTAGTTTGAAAAAATTAATGTATACATTCTTTGGCAAAATTATAGCTGGCTTAATTTCAAGCCAGTTTGTTAAAAAAACTTTTTTGTATCTCTTATATTGACCAATTTAGAGCTATTTTCTTGAATTGAGCTAGGGTGCCTCTAAAAAAAACAGTTGTTTTGCTTTAGTTTTCTTATTTCACATTTCTCATCAAAGGTGTCTTCAACAACTTTTAGATGTACAAAAGGCACAAATTTTTTTCCGCACAGAGCTTTTCGATATCTTTCGCCAATCAAGAGTTATTGAAGTTTTTCTACTAAAAATATGCCCTTTTCAAATGTTAATATCTCTGGTTGGGACCAACAAACAAAATTTTACTGCACGTATGTGTTTCTCAATAATATGAAAAAAATAGAGGTATATTATTTTTTAAACTCGTATAAAATCAATTTGAATTCATTCATATTTTTTGTATAAATTGGTTTTTCTTTTTTTGCTATAAACATTCTTCTTAAAGAGTTTTAAAAGTTTTTAGAAGATGACTTTCATGAAAAATTTAAAATAAAAAGTTAGTGCTAAAAAACTTTTTTTTTTCTTGAACACCAGAACCAGATATAAACATTTGAAAAGGGCATATTTTAAGTAGAAAAACTTCAATAACTCTTGATTGGCGAAAGATATCGAAAAGCTCTGTGCAGAAAAAAATTGTGTATTTTGAAGATCTAGAGGTTATTTGAAGACACCAGAGAAATTTGAAATAAGAAAACTTGATAAAAAAACTTCTTTTTAGAGACACCCTTACTCAATTCAAGAAAATCGCTCTAAATCTGTCAATTCATGAGATACAAAAAAAAATTTATGCAAAGTTGCTTGAAATTTGCACAGCTATAACTTTGCAGAAAAATGTATACATTAATTCCATCACATAAAAAAGTATTTTTTTTTTATTTCAATGATAATGAGAACCACCCTTTAATTCATTGTCATAAAAATAAAGGCCTACCTATAAGGAACAACTTTGTAGAACACACTTTTTGTCTAAAATTTTAATTCCAGGCTCAAAACTTATCCTTCCTGCTAAATCTGCATGCTGGACCACTGTGCATTGGTGCAATAGAAGCACTCGGCCCCCCGTTGGCGATACTGCTATACAATGAAATCACTTCAAGTGGATCCCATTCTCGTGAAAGAGGCTTATTGGATAGCGGAAGATAACGTGTTTATTGTGTAGTACCTTTTGACTATAGTTTTACGAAGTTTTGTATAGTGAACAAGAATCCTCGGCTCTGTAAAATAAATTCGGTTGAGCCTTATGAAATAAAACTCGAATGAACTGCTCCACATCAATATCCAGCAAGGACTCTGGAATTTTGAGAGCTTTGAACAAATTTTTAATACCACTTTTTCCTTGTACAAACGAGTGTAATTTAATCGTTGAAATATCATTTGATTCCACATTGAATTTTCCTGGAACGTATTTCTGGATTTCTGTAAAAATATATATATATATATATTATCAGATAGCTGAATTCAAATTCATTCATTAAACAAGGTTGAAACTAAGGCTTCAATAGTTATGTGTACGAGATCCTGAACCATGAAGTATTCCCACGTATAGAACATTTGTCAAGCGAATCTTGTTTATACTTCAAAGCATGGACATCTGACCA